AAAAAAAAAAAAAAAAAAAGAATAAAAATAAAAAGAACAACTAGAACCGCTAAATCAAATTTATATCACCAACCATTTGCATAACATCAAATCCTTTCTTTTCAATTATTTCAAATGTTTTTTTCAATTATTAAAGAATGAAATGAATAGCAAAATAAAAAAACTGCTTAGTTACATCTTAGATCGCTATTTTTCAATATTTGAATATTTCTGCTTCTAAAGTCATATAGAGATAGATGTTTGAAGGATAGTAGTACTGTACAGATAATCATACATGGACAGAAAACAGATGAGAAAACGAGAAGAATAGCAAATGAACAAAAAATGATGCGAAAAAACTGCCTCTTCAAAATACTTCATACAATAACTTCAACTAAATCTCTTATATACTAAACAATAATTGAGAAAAACCGACCTACCCAAATGTTCCAAGTATCCCGAAAAATCATCTATCCCAGTACATTTATCTTCCGTATAAAATCTTTTTTCTTCGTCTCCTCCCATTCCTCCTTTATTCCTATTTCTTCACAATTTATTATGCAAGTTTGAACTTTGGTCTATAAGTCTCTTCCTTTTTTTTCTTGCTTTCTTGCTTTTTTACTTTTTGCTCTATCTTGGCTGCATTTCCTCGACAACCGCAGCATTTATAGTTTGGAATGTTTTGGGAAATGCAAAAACAAAGTAATATGTCCGCAGCTGATGAAAAATGATGATGATTTTCGGAACTTTTCATCCGGCAACAATCTATGGGCTGACCAAAATCTTTGCTCCCGAGGGTTTCTGACTTGCCATTAATAACAGTGGAAACATCGAGCAGAAAGATAAAGGCAGAACAAGCAGATATGTTATGCCTTGTCAGTTATGTTAGATGGTCAACAGAATGTAGTTTCATCTGTTGTGGAAGACAGCACATATGCCAAGAAAATAGAGGCAAGAACTAAGTCTCTTACAAACGAGGATATTGTTTCATTAACTTCCAACTTGCGTTCTTACTTCACTATTCTTTTTTGCCACTCTCATATGGTGTCAGCTGAGATGTAACAAATTTTAAGGTCACTATTTTTGGCAACAACAAATCTATTACTAGGCCCAGTATGAGTTATTTTGGAAGCCATAAAACGTGCTTATTCTAAGCGAGGAAATGACGGAGGATTGATGATGGAAAACGCATGTTTTATAAGGAAAAACAACGGCATTCTTGCTGATATTTGACCTAATCGTTTGCACATCTCGAATGGTCTCTTCCAAA